GAGGAGGAGAGAGTGTAGGTAGATGCTACGCAAGTCTACTGGCACTATAAACCCCTGCGTAAGTCACCGTCCCTGCTCCCACAATGCAGTCTGTGGGGCACACGGTGGTCATCGTCGAAATCGACGGACGAACTGTCATGTATGTATGTATCTAGGTGCGGCTTCGGCCGTGCCAGCCTCCAAATGTCTGTTGTGTTGGTTGAAATCCTGGTTATTGTTGTGTGGACCAGGGGGTGTGGTGGAACGCCAATGTGAGGATCCGTCCGAGCCATCCACCTGCGGCCTCCCCCGTCTCCGGTCTTCTTGACTTAGTCTTGACACCGGGCTCAGGCGGGGGAGGAGGAGAGAGTGTAGGTAGATGCTACGCAAGTCTACTGGCACTATAAACCCCTGCGTAAGTCACCGTCCCTGCTCCCACCGCTGCTGCAGCTGTGAGGCACACGCTGGACATCGTCAAAATCGACGGTTGAACTGTCATGTATGTATGTATGTATGTATGTATGTATGTATGTATGTTTTCTTTTAAACACACAAACTGTGTCAGCCGTCACCATCTCGCTTGGAAGCGAGTTCCACGGCCTGACAACCCGCTGGCTGAATGACAATTTTCGTCGGTCTAAACGCGTGCGCTCATTCTCGACTTTGTATGCATGGCCGCGTAGTTGGTTTGTACGGGTGAACTCAAAGAAGTCCTCTGCTCTTAATGAGCAACCCTGGCCGCGAACAATCCGGAACGTCCAGAGTAGACTGCAGTTTATTGGTCTTTAAGAGAAAGAGGGAATAGGCCAAGCAAATTCAGCCTCTCCTGATAAGACAAATGCTTTAGACCGTCGACCATCTTTGTTGCTGTCCGTTGCATCTGCTCTAGTAAGTTGATATCCTTCCTCATCCATGGTGAAGCTGCTGGCATTCCATACGCTAGATGAGGTCTTACAAAGACACCAAAGAGTCTTTCGAAAAGTTCGGGAGGAAATATTTTAAATGCACGTCTGATCCAGTGTAGAGTACTGGTTGCCTTCTGGGCCATCTTTCTAC